TTTTTAGTAGAGATGGGTTTCACCATATTGGTCAGGCTGGTCTTGAACTCCTGACCTTGTGATACACCCACCTTGGCCTCCCAAAGTGTGGGGATTACAGGCGTGAGCCATTGCGCCCCACTGAAAACATTATTTAATAAGACTGTTAGGCTAGATTAATGGTTTTTAATTGGGAATGTGTGTGAAATTCCCAGATAATTTTTTTTTTTTTTTAAATGAGACTTGCTTGAAGCCTTTCCCTGGATATTCTGAGATGCCCATGGGATAAGGAGGATAGAGTGGATGGGGAGTTAGACGGGTATGGCATGTGTATTTAAAAGTAGTACAGGGGGGCTGTGCACAGTGGCTCATGCCTATAATCCCAGCACTTTGGTAGGCTGACGCGGGTAGATTACCTGAGGTCAGGAGTTCAAGACCATCCTGGCCAACATGGTGAAACGCTGTCTCCACTAAAAATACAAAAATTAACCAGGTGTAGTTGTGGGTGCCTGTAATCTCAGCTACTTGGGAGGCTGAGGTGGGAGAATTGCTTGAACCTGGGAGGTGGAGGTTGCAGTAAGCCGAGATTGCGCTGCTATACTTCAGCCTGGGTGACAGAGCGAGGCTCCGTCTCTGAAAAAAAAAAAAAGTACAGGGGGAGTGGTGAGGTTTTGATAAAATAGTTTTAAATTTTTGAAATTGGGTGATAGGTTCATGGAGGTTCATTGTACCATTCTCTGTACTTTGTAGAAAAAGAAAAAAAAAAGCTTTCCAAATGATTCTAATACACCTTTAGTAGAGCAGTGCTTCTTGTTTTCTTTTCTTGAGACAGAGTCTTGCTCTGTCGTCCAGGCTGAAGTGCAGTGGCGCGATCTCAGCTCACGAGCAGTGCTGCTTAAAAGTTAATGTCTCAAATAAGTTGCCTGGGGATCTCATTAACCGTATTTAGTAGGCTGGGTAAGCCTGAGAGGCTGAAGTTCTAGCAAGTTCCCAGGTGATGCTGATTCTGCTGGATTATGGGCCACATTTGAGCATCAAGGTGTTAAAAAACCATGGGACTAAATGATTACCAACCAGAATATTCTCTTTCCTAAGCAGGTCATAGGATGAAGTTTCTTGGTCATCATTTAGTAAGTAAAAATATAAATCAAATCCTATATTTTTATTAATATATAAAAATGGATAAGAAAAATATTCTTTATAATGCTTGGAAAACACTGCTCAAATAGTACAGCTCATCTATGAAAAAAGTGCATAGAAGATTATGATGTAAGCCAAGACTTCAGACAATTTAAATAATATCTACTATCCAACAGATCTAGTGTTTACATATTAAGAAGAGCTTTGTACCAGAACTGTTCTGTCATGTTTCTGCCCAGAGGCTGTCATGATAAAGTTTATTATCAATTACTGCTTTACAAGTATAAAATAAGTTAAGCTGTCATAATTTTCTCAGCCAGAGTTCCTAAACTGTCAAAGAATGTCAATTTTCAATCTGACATAGAGAAGAAAATTATCTGTTATTCTGACCTCTAATTTCTTGACATTTTAATGCCATAATTGCTGTGGTTAGTGCTGCTTCATGATTTCACCCGTCAAGGAAGAATGAATCCATAACCTTAAGCCATTTCTCAAACTTTAGCACTAACTTCAAAACTCAAACTTATAGGCAGGTAGTAGAAATTTTTTTTTTTTTAACAAAGAAGACATATATAGATATTCATATATTAAATATTTTTCTTTTTAAATTAGTGTTTAAGCATGAAAAAATCCATCTTAGGCTAGTTGGGGTTTAGTGTAACCATAATTAGCCTTCCTTTGGTTTTATCTATATGAAATGTATAATCTTTGTATTTTAAAAATACTAAGCTAAACATTATCAAATAAAATAAATGTATTGAGCTCAATAAAAGGGTTAATATCCTTAAACTCTGCTTTTTCCAAGACTCTGTGTCCAACCACTTAGGTGAGAATCAACTCTCTCAAGTCACAACACAGCAATACAAGACTTCCAGGAATTCAACAAGAATGTTTTAAAAAAAGGTATTGTGCCTCCCACACGGTCCACTCACAGGGGTTGCATATAGGTAAGGGTGCATAATGACCACTAAATAATGAATAACTTCACTCCATTTTCTCTGGGTTCTTTCTCATAACAATAGATATATTTACAGAAACAGCAACTGAGGTAAAGCGAAATTGAATGACCTGGCCTCATTTACCCAGCTCACAGAATTCAGGTGGGCTCTTGTCCTTTGGAGGACACTATTCCTCACATTCTTAAATGTTACTGCAGAACTGTCTTTGTGGGAATCTGTTAGCTTCTACTTGGCTAACTGGCATTAACAGCAACGGGAATATATTAGAGGGGTGAATGGTGGGAAGTGGGAGAGGGGAAATCAACTAGCATTCCTTGAAATCATTTAATCTGTTATGTCTACACTGTACTAAATGGCCCCCTAGTGGTCACAAGGAGACAGAGGCTCTTCCGGAGCAACCTTGAGTCCACACAGGTCCATGGCAAACCTCTCTGCTGATGTTTGCTCAGGCCTCTGGGGGGTGGGGGAAGGGAGGTAAGAGTATTCCAGGTATGCGCTTCTTCACATGTAGTGTTCTAAGAACTGACACAGAATTATAGGGTTGAGGAAGTGGGCGAGCGGTTTGGGGAGAAAGAATATACATTTCACAGTATGACTCTGGGTCTCTAATGAAACCTGAGTGTCTGGCAATTATGTGCTTCGAATGAGCATGCTGAAAGGAGACAGAGTCCTGAGCTGAGGCACCCTAGCAGCAGACAGTCTGCATCACTAGAAGGTCATAAAGCTGTAATACAAGATATTGTTCAGACAATCTATATAATATGCCAACATATGCTTGAACCATTCCCATTCAACAGAAAACAATTTTTAATGTTTACATTTCTATGTAATGTTTCAGTAAGAAGTTCTACATTAACAAAGCCTTATACACAATTTTTTCACTGTCCAAAGCAATGACGTGTTATTTTGTAGAAACAGGTATTTTGATAAGATTCAAATAATGAACACTGTATCCATGTAAAGAAAGTTTCCGTTTTAATTCCATTTTCAAATTCTTTCAGTTATCTATTTTTAAACCCTCATTTAAATTGGAAAAACCTGCTATTTTGCTGTCAGTTTTAACGCTGCCCTGCACTTTCATCACGTATAAGATGCTTAATGTATTTTATTTTGTATTTAAGGTATTAATTTATTTTATTTTGTATTTAATGTATTTAATTTGTTTTGCCCAACAGGATTAACTTTTAACTTTCTTTATAAGAACAGAACTTTATTATAATGGGTAAAAATGTATAACAAAATATCCCAAAGCAGAAATGTCTATGACATTTAGAAGTCAAAAGACAATTTAGAGTTGATCTTGGAATATAAAGATGAACTATTACAATTATTTTTTTCCTGATTCTAAAAGGTATCAGCCTTAGAATAATTTCGTTTATAAAGTATTTAATAAAACAGGCATGTGATAAGCAAGGGTATATAGTTAAGAGAATAATTAAGCTCAGAATTTCTCCTACCAAATAATCTGATTACAATTTATACACAACTGGGGATACTCAGTTGGGTGAGTGTAATGATTTGCAGAGAAAATTCCTTATTTCATAATACCTGCCTTCTCTCTCATTCATTCATTCATTCTGTCTCTATGTTTTTCTCTTGGCTTCAGGCAATAATTTTATCTTCTTGTGTACACAATATGGTACAATATTGCCCCTAATAATATGCTTGCAACGTGTTCTCAGAATATTGCCCTAAGGGTCCAAAGATCAATGATTATGAGGCTCTTCCTTTCCTTTTCCTTTTCTCTGTTTGAACCATGCAAATAGAGTCATTTTAATTTTATAGAGGTATATAAGAAATAAACTTATGAATGCAAATTTTTCTGTAGAGCTTCATTGCTCCAATCTACAAGTTTTCCACCTCTAAAATAAAAAATAAGAAAAGCACTCCACTGGCTGGAGATGCAGAAATGATTACTTGTTTTGCATACGACAGATGGCAGATATCTGGTAGAATGGAAGACTGGGATATACTTCCTTGAAGCAACACTTACGTAGCAGCTGTTGTATCTTCACTCTTTCCACTTATCTAAAATTTTGTGCAATGTAGAAGTGATTTAAGCAATATTTTATATGAATATTTTCACTAAAAATACCATACACATACTACAGCACATAATTCCCAACTGTTAGCCATAAACATTTCAGATTGAGAACACACAGGAATAAAATAGCATAACCGTATCTATTTCATTCATGTATTTTTTGAGTATTCTGTGTAAAAGGTAGAAATATTGCTTTTATTTATTTATTATGTTTTTGAGACAGGGTCTCACTCTGTCACCCAGGCTGGAGTGCAGTGGTGCAATCTTGGCTCATGGCAACCTCTGCCTCCTGTGTTCAAGTGATCCTCCCACCACAGGCCCCGGAGTAGCTGGGACCACAGGCCTGCGCCACCACACCCTGCTTATTTTTGTATTTTTTGTAGAGATGGGGTTTCAGCATATTGGCCAGCCTGGTCTCGAACTCCTGGGCTCAAGTCATCTGCCCATCTTGGCCTCCCAAAGTGCTGGGATTACAGGCAAGAGCCACTGAAATCCCAGCACTTGTGCTTTTATTTTTAAGAATAGCCACAGTGGCAGATTATTTTAATGTGAAATATTCCTATTTAAATATTTAGCTAGGTTTCATTTATTACTAACACACATAAAGCATTACATATTTTAATGTAAATTTTGAAGAAAAATAAAATATAGATATAGAAGTAGATTAAAAGTGTCTGCAAGTTAAAAAGGAACCACATACTGGTCTCATTACTTGTTTTGGGCCTTTTTTCAATTTTTCCACATACATCAAGAACCTGAAATCTATGTTTTGTAAAAAGTTACATTGAAAAAAAAATTATACAGAAAGAGATGGAATGTCAAATTTGTGTTTGAGAGATGACAGAAATTTTTGGAATAATATAGGACTTAACACCTACCTCCCTGAGCACAGGATCAGTGATACTATCCAGGTTCACAGAGCCTTCGTAAGTCAAGTAGTGAAAAACATTCAGAGCACGAACTGCTTCTGGTCCTCGCTGCTTATAGCCAAATATAAGGTCGATCCACTGATGAAGTTGGCAAGAAACAAATTCACTTTCTAGTGCCTGAAATCAGTCAAGGAAGAAATGAGAGACCATCAAAACTTAGTAGAACTTCATATCCTTTCTTTTTTTTACTTTGAAATATTATATATAAAAAGGAGAATATGCTCTTTACATTTCTATACTTGATTTATATGTATCAGATCTTCAGTTCCTAGAAATGGAAAAACGCTCCCTCAGCAGTATTTTACAGAGACCTAAATGAAAATTTTCTCTTTCTAAAATGCTAAACTTTCTCTTGGCTCCATTAGGTACACAGTATGATTTAATATAAATAAATTTCTTATAAAAATACACTCATGTTTAGAAGAAAAATAATTTAAAATACCTTTTTTAATACCATGTTACAACAATTTCATTTCTCATTTTTAAATATTAGTTTGAAATAAAGCAATTTTATGAGAAACTCTGATATACATTTATTTTCCTGCCTGAAGTCCTCCAGCTTACCTCTGAGATGACTAGCAGGGAATGTCTTTCTTCTGCTATGAATTAACTCAGCTATTATACAGTTTGGGAATCAGTGGGCAATTTTGGATGTTTGCTAACTAATGGGAAAGAAATATAAATTACTGAGAATCAAGGTCCATACTAACTTTCCATAAACAGGAAGAAAAAAAAAAAAAGGCCTTTTTATTTCCTAAGAAGCCATCAGAAGCCTCCTAGAGGTATCTTGACAGTAGGTAGGGAGTCTTGCTCAGGTCTGTGAAATAAGCAGTGATGGTGCATGGCTCACTACGCCTCTCACTTACTGCAGTCATTTATCATCAACTTCCTGTTGATTTAAACAGGACACTGATTTCAACATGAAAAAGAGCTGGACATCTAGCTTCGTAAATTTCAGCTATGCATAGCCATATAAGACAATTTCTAAATTATGGCTGTCACTAAATACGTGAACAAAGTCATTCTCTGTGATTTCCATGGTGTTGAAACCAATTTGGAATTCACTTAATGAATAAATGATTTCTTAAATTAGATTGCCAAAAACTGCTTTTCATTTTTTAAGTATATAAAATATAAATAATACTTTTCAACTTTTCCTGTGATTGCATTTAACTAGTAATTTATTCCCTTCAATCCCTTTCCTGATTTACTCCTTTCAACATTTTTTGTATTTCATCTACACCAATTAGTGTGGATGTTTCTCATTCAGCAATGTAAACAATGACATTTTGTGAAAGAGCAGTTTCCGTACTAAAGCTAAACAGAATTTCTATACTGTCTATCTCATCCATCTTGAAATAACAGTTCAGAGTAGAACATAGAAAATGAGACAAAGTCCAAAAGAAGAGATGGTTAAAATTCTGTATTATGTCTATATTAGTTTGGTCAATTTGTATAAATGATTTTGTTGATTCTCTATAACTATTTAATTAAGAAAAAGGTCAGTCTAAGTATTTAGTAACATTTTCAGTGTCTGATGCAATAAATGAACAGATTTAAAAATGAGTAAATAGAGGTTCATTATTGAGTAACTATTGCTTAAACCTATTCACAGGAATTCAAATTAGTTATGGAATCAGATACACAATTTAAAAGAGATTTTACCAACATGATCAGCTAAGCAGCATTCATTACAAATATATCTTATAGATACCACTAAAGAAAGATTTGATGAAATTTACTATTATCTCTATTAGAGTAAAACCATTATTGAATAAAATACCTAATGGAATCATGAGTGGTAGTGGGAATGATGACTTTTCAATAATTTGAGCTTTTAAAATATATTTTTTCCCTTTTATCTCCATCTCTTATTTTCATTTCCTTCCACTACCTTAGGCAATCACTGTAATGTATTTAATGTTTCTCCTTTTGTTTGCATGTGCCCTTATAAAATACTACTCATTCTTTTGTGGATATACTTTTGAACTATAAAAATATATAGGGTTAAAATTTTCATTTTGTTCCTTACTTTTCTCACTTAGTATTATTTTAGAAATCTACCTGTGTCACTGTGTGACTAGCCCATTGCTTCTCATGGCTGCACAAAACTCCCCTGGTAACAAACACCAGGCTGCCTCTAATCCCCATGACACAAGCCTGTGATAAATGCCCCTTTTGGATCTTTGTGAGAATTTCTTTGGGATTTATAATCTGGAGTAGAACTGGGAGTGCATACTTAATGTGAGTCATCAATGCCCACTCTCTAGCAGTGCATGACAGTTTCTATACACCTTACCTCCATCAACTCTTAGTATTATCCAGGTTTCTAATTTTGGCCAGTATAAGAGATACAAAATAATATCTCATTGTTTTAATTTGTATTCCTCAAATTACTAACAAATTTGATATCTTTTTAATATGCTTGTTGGTCTTTTGGGTTTCCTCTTCTGTAAATTTCCTGTTCATATCCTTTACCCATTTAAAAAATGGAGGTTCTTGTCTTTATATTGTTGATTTATATATTTAATTTTATTATTATTAACTTTTAGACAGGATCTCACTCTATGGCCCAGGGTGGAGTGCAGTGGTGCGATCTCAGCTCACTGCAACCTCCGCCTCCTGGGCTTCAGTGATCCTTCCACCTCAGCCTCCCGAGTAGCTGGGACTACAGGCATGCACCACCATGCCTGGCTAATTTTCGTATTTTAGTATTTTGTACTTTTGTATTACAGGGACAGGGTTTTGCCATGTTGCCCAGGCTGGTCTCAAACTCCTGAGCTCATGTGATCTGCCTGCCTCGGCCTCCCAAAGTGCTGGCATTACAGATGTGAGCAACTGCACCTAGCCTGATTTACATATTTTAGGTAAGAGTTCCTTGTTGGTTTGAAACGCTGCAAATGCATTCTCCCAAATGTCATATATCTATTAACTTTATCCATGTTCTTTGTTACATATATATTCTTAATTTTGAGATCATCAAATCATGTCTTAAAAATGTTTATGCTTTGGGGTTTTGTCTTGAATTACAGAGATAACTATATTTTTATCAATTAGCTTTATATTTATGGTTTTACTTTTTATATTTTGATCTTTAAGTAATCTAGATCTACTTTCATTCCTATGTGATATTAGATATGGGTCCAGTATTATTTTTGTTTATACAGTGAGTCAGTTTTTCCAATACCATCTATTAAACAAAAATTCCTTTTCTCAGAGATGTATGGTGTTATCTTTACTGTGTGAATATATATTTGAAATGAAGATATAAAACAGTCATTATTTACAGACAATATCATAATCTACATAGAAGAAGTCCAGCCTCCTTCCTCCTTTTTCTTTTGCTCTCTCTCCTATGTATCTATCATGTCTAGATATGTGTGTCCCCAGCTTTCTATATTTTTCATTTCTATTATCTTAATTTATCTTTATATTCTTTTGCTCTCTCTTCTATGTATTTATCATGTCAACATATGTGTCCAGCTTTCTATATTTTTAATTTCTATTATTACCTCAACTTATCTTAATTATCTTATTTCTTACATATCTCAACATGTGGTAAAATTTATTCTTTTTTTCAGGATTAACTAGGCTATTCAGGAACATTTATTCTTCTTCATAACTTTTACATTAAGTGCATAGATATATCAAAAGAATTTGATTGGAATGCCAGTGAATTTATAAATTAATTTGTGAACACTGATATTAGGTTTTACTATCCAAGCTCCCCAAATATCTTGATTTATACAGATCATTTTCTATGTCCTTTTTTAGAGTTAAAAATTAAAATTTTGTCCATAAAAGTTTTATCTTAGTGTTCTTGGTTAAGTTTATTCCCAGATACTTCATAAATTTCGATGGAACTGTAACATTTTAAAACTATATTTTATACTTGGTTATTAATGATGTAGAACAATGATACTGACTTCTAGAAGTTGATTGTGTTTGTAGCAACTCTTAGTAGTTATACCTATAACTGTTTTTTTCTTATAGAATTGTTCTTAGCCTTAAGAACTATGTAAAACAGCAGTGGTGATGTGGAAAATCCCTGTATTTTTCCTGATCTTAAGGGTTAAACTCTACTTAGTGCTGATGCAACACACATACACACACACACACACACACACAGACATATACACATACACAGGCATATACACCCACATTTAATAACATTGATAATAGTTCATTTAGAATTTTTATATTTAGAGCTATATATGAAATGAGCATTCTTTCTTTTTCCTCCCCTTCACTATTTTTGGAATTGAGATCCCATTAGCCTCATAAAACTAGCTGGATAGCTTTCCATGTTTCCTGAAACAATTGGTATAAGAAAATAAATTCATTATCTGTTGAAAATTTGGTAGAATTTACGTGTAATGTAATTTGGGCCTTGAATTTTGGGGGAGTTGGGATGGGAAGATTTTACCATTTACATTTCCGTAAGTCTTGGAAGTCTCAATTTTGACATTTTAAATATTTTTCTGAGTATTCATCCATTTCATCTCAGTTTTAAAATTTATTAGCTCATAGATGCTCATAATAGTCTTTTTTTTGCTTTTCTTTGTTTTTATTATACTTTAAGTTCTAGGGTATATGTGCACAACAAGCAGGTTTGTTACATGTGTATACACGCACCATGTTGTGTGCTGCACCCATTAACTCGTCATTTACACTCGTCATTTACATTAGGTATATCTCCCAATGCTATCCCTCCCCACTCCCGCAACTCCATGACAGGCCCTGGTGTGTGATGTTCCCCTTCCTGTGTCCACGTGTTCTCATTGTTCAATTCCCACCTATGAGTGAGAACATGTGGTGTTTTTTTGTCCTTGTGACAGTCTGTTGAGAATGATGGTTTCCAGCTTCATCCACGTCCCTACAAAGGACATGAACTCATCCTTTTTTATGGCTGCATAGTATTCCATGGTGTATATGTGTCACATTTTCTTAATCTAGTCTATCATTGATAGACACTTGGGTTGGTTCCAAGTCTTTGCTATTGTGAATAGTGCCACAATAAACATACGTGTGCATGTGTCTATATAGCACCATGATTTATAATCCTTTGGATATATACCCAGTAATGGGATGGCTGGGTCAAATGGTATTTCTAGTTC